TTGATGGGAATTGCTTTAAATCTGTATATTGCTTTGGGTAATATGGCCATTCTTCCAATCCATGAACATGGGATATCTTTCCATTTTGTTGTGTCTTTTACAATCTTTTTAAACAATGTTTTGTAATTTTCAGTATATAGGTCTTTCACCTTCTTTGTTAAATTTATTTCTAAGTATTTTATTCTTTAAATGAAGTTTTGTTGTTAGTATACATAAAGGCAATGGATTTTTGCACATTGATTTTGTATCCTACAACTTGACTATATTTGTTTATTGTTTCTAATAGTTTGTTGGTGGAGTCTTTAGAGTTTTCTAAATACAGAATCATGTCATCCATGAAAAGTGAGTTTGACTTCTTCCCTTCCTATTTGGATGCATTTACTTATTTCTCTTACCTTATTGCACTGGCTAGGACTTCCAGAACAATGTTGAATAAGAGGGATGAGAGTGGACATCTTATCTTGCTGATGATCTTAGAGGAAAAGTTTTCAGTCTTTTGCCTTTGAGTATGATATCAACTGAGTGTTTATCATATAAGCCTTTATTTTGTTGAGGTACTTTCCTTCTATTCCTATTTTATTAAGTGTTTTAATTTTAAGTGGATGTTGTATCTTATCAAATGCCTTTTCTGCATCTTTAATAATATCATATGGTTTTATCCTTTCTTCTGTTAATGTGGTGATTATGTTGATTGATTTACATATGTTGAACCATCCTTGTGCCCCTGGAATTAACTCCACTCCACTTGTTCGTGATGTATTATTTTTTTGGATGTACTGTTGTATTCAATTTCCTAGTATTTTGTTTAGGATTTTTGCATCTGTATTCATCAAAGATATTGGTATGTAGTTTTTTTTCCCTTCCTTTCTTCCCCCCCCCTCCCCTTCCACACTTCTTTTTGCATTATCTTTGCCAGGTTTTGGTATCAGGGTTCCATTGGCCTCACAGAATGTGTTAAGAAGTATTGCCTCTTCTTCAATTTTTTTGGAGGACTTTGAGGAGTTAAATCTTTGAATGTTTGGTAGAATTCACTGGTGAAACTGTCTGATCCTTGACTTTGTTTTTTGGGAAGTTTTTGATGGTTGTTTCAATTTCCTCACTGCTGATCAGTCTATTTAGATTTTCCAATTTGTTATGATTTAGTTTAGGAAAGTTATATATTTCTAGGAACTTATCCATTTCTTCTAGATTATTGAAGTTGGTGGTATAAAGTCTTTTATAATATTCTAGTGTGATCCTTTCTGTGATGTCTGTGGTGAATTCTCCTCTCTAAATTCTGATTTTGTTTATATGGGTCTTTTTATTTTTTTCTTGGTGAGTCTAGACAGCGGTTTGTCAATTTTATTAGTCTTTTCAAAGAATCAGTTTTTTGTTCTATTAAGGTTTTGTATAGTCTTTTTGTTCTATATTTCATTTAATTCAAATTTATTATTTCCTTTTTTTTGCTAACTTTGGGTTGCTTTTGTTCTTTATTTCCCTAATATTTTTAAGATATGATATTAGGTTGTTTATTGAGTTTGTCCTTATTTCTTGAGATAGGCCTGTTATTATATAAGCTTTTCTCTTATTACTTTTTTTTCCATGCATACCAGATGTTTTGATAAATGATATTGTCATTCTCATTTGTCTCTATATATCTTTTGATCTCATTTTTTTTTCTGACCAGTCATTTAGTATTATGTTGTTTAATCTCCATGGATTTGTGGGTTTCTTTACTTCCTTCTTGAAGTTGATTTCTAATTTAAAGCATCATGGTCAGAGAATATGCTTGGTGTAATTTCAATCTTCTTGAATTTATTGATGCTAGTTTTGTGACCCAACATATGGTCTATCTTTGAGAATGTTCCCTGTGTGCTAGAGAAGAATGTATAATCTGATGTTATGAGATAAAATGTTCTGTAAATGTTAATTATGTCCATTTGGTCCAGTGTTTCATTTAAGGGTGATATTTCTTTATTGATTTTCTGTTTGATTGATCTGACAATGGGTAATTAAGTATTAAGGCCTCCAACTATGATTGTGCTCTTATCTATTTCTCCCTTTAGTTGTGTGAGTAATTGTTTTATATATTCTGGTGCTCCCTGGTTAGGTGCATATATATGAAGAAGTATTGTAATTTCTTGATGTAGTGCCTCCTTTGCCATTATAAAGTGTTAATCTTCGTCTCTTGTTATCTTGAAATCTATTTTGTCAGATATTAATATGGCTACACCAGATTTTCTGTGGATGCTATTTGCTTGAAGAATCATTTTCCATCCTTTTAATTTGAATCTACCTTTGTCTTTGTAGCTTAAACATGCCTCTTGTAGGTTGCATATGGTTGGGTTTTGTTTTTGTTTTATCCACTCTGATATTCTATGCCTCTTTATTGCTGAATTCAGATAATTTACATTTAGGATAATTATTGATGTATAAGAATTTCCTATAGCCATTTTATCTGTTGTTTTCTGGTAGCTCAATGCCTCCATTATTTTTTCCTTTGTGTTCCTGTCTGTTGCTTTTGTTTGGTGGTATTTCATACTTATTTCCTCTTTTATTTATATTTATTTATGTATGTATGTATTTATTTATTTATTTATTTAGCTATGTGTCCTGGTTTCACAGTTAATATGTGGTTACCATTAGGTTTATGAAAGGTAATGTTGCATATATACTGTAGTTCTTTTTCTTTTGAGTGCATCTGATCTTCATCTTCCTTTGCCAGTTCAGACCTTTCCCCCTTCCCTTTGTATGTTTTTGCTATCACAAATTATCACTATTTGTGCTGTACGTTTTTGATGATTTATTCATAGTGTTGTGACCTTATGTTTTTTGTTTCAGATGTAACAACTCCTTTGATTATTTTCTGCAATGGAGTTTTTCTAGTGATATAATCCCTCAGCTTTGGGGTGTATGAGAACATCTTTATTTCTCCTTCATATTTAAAGGATAATTTTGCTGGATATATTATTCATGACTGGCAATTCATCTCTTTCAAGTGTTTGAATATTTGGTTTCACTCTCTTCTGGCTAGTAGAGTTTCTGCTGAAAAATCAGATGAAATTCTGATGGGTTTTCTTTTGTAGGTCATTTTCTTTTTTTTCTCTGACTGCTTTGAGAATTTTTTTGTCATTAATTTTTAACAGTCTCAATAGCAAGTGCCTTGGAGAGGGCCTCTTTGGATTGAGGTAACTAGGTGTTCTGCTTGCTTCTTGAATTTGAGGATCTAGTTCTTTTCATAGATTGGGGAAGTTCTCATCCACTATTTGTTTCCATAAACTCTCCATTCCATGCTCCCTCTCCTCTTCCTCTGCAGGGCCTATAATTCTAATATTTATTTTTCTGATGGAGTCAGTTAAGGCTCATAGAGATCTTTCACTTTTCTTTATTCTCATGTCTTTCTCTTCTTCTATCTGTGTTGTTTCTTGATTCCTATCTTCAATATCACTAGTTCTTTCCTCTAACTGGTTAGTTCTGATTTCTAAGCTCAGTGACTCTCTCTTAATCTCCTTAATTGCATGTTTCATTTCTAGGATTTCTGATTGGTTCTTTTTTAACATTTCAATTTTCTTGGTAAAATACTTATTTTGGGAAAAAAATCTAGATTATCTCATTAACAATGTCACCCCAATAAATTTAATTAAAAATAAATAGTCATCAATAAACATCTAAAAAAATACTCATTTTGTTCATTGGTTTGTTTTCTGACTGCACTGAATTGCCTATCGGTATTTTCTTGCATCTCATTGAGTATTTCAGAATTGCAATCTTGAATTCTCTGTCATTTATGTCACATGTTCCAGCCTACTTTCTGGGGATTTTTCGTTTTCTTTCTGCCCTATCATCAATATTGTGGTTCTTCATGGTATTTGCTGTGCTCCTTTTTCATATCTCTGAAGAAGTCTTTCTACTATAATCCAGAAGATGGCGCTGAATTGCAAGATTTTTATATCTGTGGTCTCCCAGGTTTGAGCCTCTGCAGCTTCCATTGGACAGCTGCTTGGGGTTGGGTTTGTTTTGCCCTCTCTCCTAATGGCAGCCCTTAACTTCCATGGGGTCCACTTCAAGCACCCCTCCTGGGGATCAGTCACAGAGGGAAACAGCGATTATATTGCAACAGCTCTTAGTTTACAGATGATGTGCTCCTGGATCTGACTCTAAGAGCAATTGGAGGAGAGTCTTTAGAGTCTAAGCTAGGGGTGTCGAACTCAATCAGAGAAGGGGCCAAAATCTAAAATCCAGCCTAAATCGCGGGCCGAATGGTTTACTGAACAGTCATAAACTGTCATTGTGATGGAAACGCAGTGGAGTGCAGTGATGACAGCACGGTGCGGGCCACATTGCAAGGCCTGGCGGGACGGATTTGGCCCGTGGGCCTTGTGTTTGACACATGTTAGATTCTAAGCAGTGGCAACACTCTGTGGCTCCATTTCTATGTCTGAAACACCACCTCCTGGCCCTACAGTGGGGAGCCTCACAGCAGAACCCAGAGCTCTGTTAGGTGCCTCCTAACTCAGACACTGTTCACTCACCCATTATTAAACTATTAATAAATCTCTTCCTAATTATATCCTTATTATCAGTTGCAATTGGAGGCTAAGGAGGATTAAATCAAACCTAATTACATTAAATTACAGTTTATTCATCTATTGACCATTTATGGTAAATAGTTTCTATCTTAATTTATAACTCAACTATAACACTATTAAACTTGTTTATATCCTAAGAACAACTACTACATTCATAGTATTTATAATAAATACATCAATCATAACAACCTCCTTATCTCACATATGAAATAAGATGCCACTAACCACCACATTTATCCTAATTAATATATTATCTTTAGGAGATCTACCCCCATTAACAGGATTTTTACCAGAATGAATAATTATTCAAGAAATAAAAAAATAATACTATTCTACTACCAAACTTAGAGCCATCACATCCCTACTTAACTTATGTTTTTATATATTACTTACATATGTCACATCACTCACAATATTCCCGACAATAAAAAATATAAATATCAAATGACAATTTGAAAGTATAAAACAAATAACACATTTATCATCTATGATTATAATCTCTAACCCTGACTCTTCCACTAACACCAGTTATAGTAATTCTAGACTAGGAATTTAGGTTAATCCAGACCAGGAGCCTCCAAAGCTCCAAGCAAATATTATTTGTTTAACTCCTAAAAAAGGGACTGACTGCAAGATTTTATCTCACATCAAATCAATTACTTTAATTAAGCTAAACCTTTCCTAGACTGATGGGCTTCAACCTATGAAATGCTAGTTAACAGCTAACTGCTTCTTTGAATTTGAAATTCAATATGTGTTACACCACAAGACTTGGTAAAAAGAGTTCAGGGAACCAAGATGAGGGCGTAGATAAACACTTAAACTGCTGCCTTGCACAACAATTTCAAAACTACAACTAAAAGACAAAATGTCTATCACCCAGAACCACGGGAAAGCTGGCTGAGTAGAAGTTCTACAACTAGAAGGGAAGAGAAAAGAGCATTGAGACTTGCTCTTTTAAAAAGCTGAGGTACAGAGGCGTGCAAATCATGCTGATGGCGGGCCATTGGATGTGCTACTTTTTTTTTCTCCAATTACTTTGAAGTGAGACAAGCTTCCAATTACTCTGAAATTCAGTTTCTGGGGAGACATGGGGAACCCAAACTCCTATGAGGATAGGCTAGACTGTTGGCCATTGGGTCGGAAAGTGAGGGTGACTGTCTTGTGGAGGTGCACACAGTAATCATTGTTTACTGTGGGGGAGTGCAGGACGCGGGGACTTGGAAACTAAGAAACTCAGAAAAGGCTGACTGGTAGCCATTACTATTTGCCACGCCTTAGCCTAGTGACTCCCTGAGATCCCACCTTGCACAATCTACAAACCCACCCAAGAAGTGGCTTTTGTTTATAAATGGCCTGCCCTATCACAGCTTAACCAAACTAACTGCAGCTCTGGTCAGACAGCAGCAAAATCTCCAAACCCCAAGCAAAGAGGAGAAAACTTGTTTTTGCTATAGCTCCTGTGGGTGGCCTCAGACAGTAGCTGACCTGCACCCCATTGGAGATCCAGAAGTTAGTGTATCTAGTGGTCTGTGTGAGAACACAGCAGATTTAAACTACTCTCATACTCTCATAAGGGACACATTCAAGAGGCAGATTCAGTGAGCATCAAAGCTCCACTAAAACAAGTCCTTCCCCATAAGCGTGTCTCCAGCACAGCAATTCTTTCATTATAAACACAGCGGGTCCTTACAGCCAATTGGCCTAAAGGTCAATTCCTCCCATTGACACCAACAACAATCAAGACTTAACTACAACAAGGCTGTATACACAGTCCACAAAAGGTGCACCAAGAGTGTCCACCTCAGGTAACAGGTAACCTTTAGATCATATAGGATACCTAGCACACAAAGCCACCCTAGTACCATGTTTCCCCGAAAATAAGACCTAGCGCATGGAAAGATAAGACATCCCCTGAAAATAAGACCTAGCGCAACTTGGGGAGAAAAAATTAATATAAGACACTGTCTTATTTTCGGGAAAATAGGGTAACTCAGGGAAGCAGCAAAAATTAGGAAACAGATCACAAACTAAAGAAATGGAGGAAACTGAATGACTGGAAATAGAGTTCAAAACCATGGTTATAAGGTTTTTAAGAATTTCCTAGAAAAAGCCTGTAAATTTAACGAGACCCTCGAAGATATGAAAAAGGACCAACTAGAAATTAAACATACACTGACTGAAATAAAAAAAATATTATACAGAGACCCAATAGCAGCTAGGGGAATGCAAAAATCAAGTCAAAGATTTGAAATACAAAGAAGCAACAAACACTCAATTGGAAAAGAAAAAAAAAAAAAAAAAGAATACAAAAAGTTGAAGATAGTGTAAGAAGCCTCTGGGACAACTTCAAGCATACTAACATCAGAATTATGGGAGTGCTGGAAGAAGAGAGAGAGCAAGATACTAAAAACTTATTTGAAAAAATAATGACTAAAAACTTCCCCCATCTGGTGAAAGAAATAGAGTTACAAGTCCAAAAGCACACAGAACCTCAAACAAAAGAAATCCAAAAAGGATCACACCAAGACACATCATAATTAAAATGCCAAGGGCAAAAGACAAAGAGAGAATATTAAAAGCAGCACGAGAAAAACAGTTAATTACCTACAAGGGAGCACCCATACAATTGTCAAGCTGATTTCTCAACAGAAACTATGCAGGCCAGAGGGAGTGGCAAGAAATATTCAAAGTGATGAATAGCAAGAGCCTACAACCAAGATTACTCTACCCAGCAAAGTTATCATTCAGAATTGAAGGTCAGATAAAGAGCTTCACAGATAAGAAAAAGATAAAGGAGCTCATCACCATCAAGCCAGTAGTGTATGAAATGCTGAAAGGGAGAGAAACCAAGATGGCGGCATAGGGTAGACACCAGAATGCAGCCTACCACAACAAATTTGAATTTAGAACTGAAAAACAGGGGAGGCATTGCCCTGAAGTGCCAGACAGCTGGCTGAGAGGAGGCTCTGCCATCTGGGAAGGAGAGAGAAGGCACGCTGAACCTCAGGAACTGTGAAGGTACGGAGAACTGTGTGCACGAAAAGGCACTGGCTTAATCCCGGTGCGGAGAGGAAGGGCTGGACCGAGATTGCTGCTGGCTTACTCCCTGCATGCAGAGAGGGCGGGCAGGGCTGAATTCACTACTGGCTTACTCCTGGCGCGGAGAGGGCGAACAGCTAACTCAGCTGGCTTTCTTGTCCGAGAGGAAAACAGAATCACCCTATTGCTCTGATAAACGGCCCCAGACAGGGAGAGGCCAGACTGTCAGGCAGTGGGCAGAGATCTCTTGGAGGTGTGTGAAGCCAGAGGCCATTACTGCGGGACTTGGGGAGGAGCCAAAGAGAAAACAAAGTTTGTCTGCACCAACCTGAGACTCCGCCCTACCTGTGGCTGAGCACAGAAGCTCTCCCAGAGGCTGGCTTTCTCTAAGGAGGAACTTACAGGAATCCAAAGCTTGTCTGCGCCTTTACCAAAGAGGTGCACGCGCCTGCAACCAATCTTCCAAAACTCTCCATGAACAGGACTTTACTAAGGCGAGACTGACAGGGAACCAAAGATTGTCTGCGCCACCCCGAGACCCCGCCCTATTCAAGCAGAGTACTGAAACCCTCCTAGCTGAGACACTGCTGATCGTCACAGCCAATTGGCTTGGAGATCAACGCTTCCCAGTGATACCAACAATAAAGCAAGGCTTAACAACAAGACTGCACACACAGCCCACAAAGGGCTACACCAAGACTGTCCACCACAGGTAACTGGGAAGGCTGTGCTACTGGGTTCTACCAGAACACCTAGCACACAAAGCTATTCCATCAAATCAGGGAAACAACTAAAATGCAGACAAGAAGAAGGACACAAAGGAAGGAGATGGAGGAAAAGAAAAGATTGGACATTGAGTTCAAAACTACAGTTATAAGGTTATTCAACAATATCCTAAAAAAGGCTGATAAAATAAATGAGACCTATGAGGATATGAAAAGGGAGCAACTAGAAATAATAAGGGATCAACAAGAAATGAAGAAAACATTGTCTGAAATAAAAAATATTATACAAAGTCCTAAAAACAGACTGGAAGATCGCAAGAATCAAGACAAAGATTTAGAACACAAAGAGCCAGAGGACACTCCTCTGCAGAAGGGAGAACATAAGAGAATCCAGAAAGTTGAAGATAGTGTAAGAAACCTCTGGGACAATTTCAAGCGAACCAACATCAGAATTATGGGGATTCCAGAAGAGAGAGAGCAAGATACCGAAAGAGTACTAGAAGAAATAGTGACAGAAAGCTTTCCCCACCTGGGGAAAGAAATAGACTTACAAGTTCAGGAAGCCCGCAGAAACCCAAACAAAAGGAATCCAAGGAGGACCACACAAAGACATATCATAATTAAAATTCCAAGAGCAAAAGACAAAGAGAGAATATTAGAAGCAGCAAGAGAAAAGCAGGTAGTGACCTATAAAGGAGCACCCATAAGATTGTCAGCTGATTTCTCAACAGAAACCATGCAGGCCAGATGGGAATGGCAAGAAATATTCAAGGTGATGAATAACAAGAACCTACAGCCAAAAATAATCTATCCAGCAAAGCTATCACTCAGAATCAAAGGACAGATAAAGAGCTTCACAAATAAAAAAAAGCTAAAAGAGTTCATCACCACCAAACCAGAATTATATGAATTGCTGAAGGAGGTTATTTAGGAAGAGGAAGAAGATAAAGATAAAAATTATGATCAACAAATATGTAGCTATCAACAAGTGAATCTAAAAACCAAGGGAATTTAAAAATCTGATGAACAATATTAACTGGTGAATATAATAGAATCAGAGGTATGGAAGGTGAGTGGACTGACGATTCTCAGGGAAAAGGGGAGTGGGGGTGCGGGAAGAGACTGAACAAAAACTGTGCACCTATGGATGAGGACAATGGGGGATGGGGAAAGGACAGAGGGTGGGGTGGGAACCTGGTGAAGGGGAGCAATTGAGGGGGGGAAGAGGATCACATTTGTAATAATCTGAACAGTAAAGATTTATTTAAAAAAAAAAAAAAAGAAATGCTGAAAGGTATTCTTTAAGAAGAGGAAGAAGCCGAAGCCGATTTGGCTCAGTGGTAGAGCTTCGGTCTGCGGACTGAAAGGTCCCAGGTTCAATTCCAGTCAAGGGCATGTACCTTGGTTGTGGGCACATCCCTGGTAGGAGGTGTGCAAGAGGCAGCTGATCGATGACTCTCTCTCATTGATCTTCCTAACTCTAGCTCTCTCCCTTCCTCTCTGTAAAAAATCAATTAAAATATATGTATAAAAAAAAAAGAAGAGGAAGAAGAAGAAAAAAAAAAGGATAAAAATTATGAACAACAAATGCGTATCTATCAACAAGTGAATCTAAAAATCAAGTGAATTAACATAGGGGTGCAAATATCCTTTCTGATTGGTGTTTCTAGTTTCTTGGGATATATTCCTAGAAGTGGGATTACTGGGTCAAATGGGAGTTCCATTTTCAGTTTTTTGAGGAAACTCCATACTGTTCTCCACAGTGGTTGCACCAGTCTGCATTCCCACCAGCAGTGCCCAAGGGTTCCTTTTCCTCCGCAACCTCTCCAACACTTGTCGTTTGTTGATTTGTTGATATTGGCCATTCTGACAGGTGTGAGATGGTACCGCATTGTTGTTTTGATTTGCATCTCTAAGACACATGACCTCACTCATTTGTGGATAATAAAGAACATTATAAACTGATGAACCAAAAGATAGATATAGAGACAGTATATCAACAAGCAGACGTCAAATTACAGCGGGGAGGGGAGGAAGATCTGGGGGAGATAACAGATCAACCGAAGGACTTTTATACATGCATATAAGTACAACCAATGGACATAAAACTCTTGGGAGGGAGGGGATGTGTGGGAGGGAGAGAGGGGGGAAAATCAATAAAATATATTTTAAAAAAATAAAAAATAAAAATAAATAATAAAATAAAATAAAAAAACAAAAATAAAGTGAATTAAAAATCTGACTAACAGAATAAACTGGTGAATATAATAGAATCAGGGGTATAGAATGGGAGTGGATTGATAATTCTCAGGGGGAAAGGTGTGTGGGAGGTATAGGAAGACATTGGACAAAAATCTTACACCTATAGATGAAGACAGTAGGGGGGAGGGAAGGGCAGAGGGTGTGGTGGGAACTGGTGGAAGGGAGCTATGGGGGGAAAAAGAGAAACAATTGTAATAATCTGAACAATAAATATTTATTAAATTAAAAATAAATAAATAAAAAATAAAAAAGAGGAGTTCAACTTCTGTCTTTAGATTTACAATCTAATGCTTGCTCAGCCATTTTACCTATGCCCATAAATTGTTGATTATTTTCAACTAATCATAAGGATATTGGCACTTTATATCTTTTATTTGGGGCCTGAGCAGGCATAGTAGGTACTGCCTTAAATCTATTAATCCATGCAGAATTGAGTCAACTCGGTGCTTTATTAAAAGATGATCAAATTTACAATGTAATTGTTACTGCCCATGCCATCATAATAATTTTTTCATAGTAATTCTTATTATAATTGGTGGTTTCAGAAACTTGTTGTGCCCTTAATGATTGGTGCACCTGATATAGCCTTTCCTCAAATAAATAATACAAGCTCCTGATTCCTCCTCCCATTATTCCTGTTACTTCTAGCTTCTTCCATAGTAGAAGAGGGGCAGGAACCAGTGGGGAGTCTCACAGCAGAACCTGAGTTCTGTCAGGTGCCTGCTAACTCAGACATGGTTTGCGCTATTGCTGCTTTCCACTGCTCACCCTGCTGCCCCTTCCTCCCCTCCACCTACTCCTCCCACAGCTTTTTTTCCCTCCCACCCGGACAAGGGAAGTGCCTGCTACCTCTGACTGTCTTCCATCTTATGCCCCAAGCTGTGAGCTCCTGGCTGCAGGGCTGTGTCTGCAGGCCATCTGCATTTTCCTCCATTCTCTCCTTGTTTATTCGTAGATGCCTTCTATATGTGTTTCTGTGTGTGGGTCTCTCAGGCATGGGTCTGTGTTGGGTAAGGACTTCTTTGTTGAATTATAGATAGTTGACTTGTTGAAATGTCCAGGGGAAAGGAAAAGTTACACCCTATGGCACACTCCTGGTCTTTCCTTCTCACGGTGCCTCATAGTAGGTGCTCAGTCAGTATTTGTGAATGTTTTTATTGAGTCCTGGATAACCATCCTCCTTTCCTTTGCCCTCTATTCCACTTCCCCTCCCACTTTTTGGTGTTCTTGCTGAGAGAAAGCTGTGTACAGATTTGCAGCTCATTTTACACTGATAATGTCTAGGAGATTATGTCTTTGGAACAAGTCTCCAAACCCCATCTCTGAATGTGATACTGAGAAGTGTCTCTAGGGTGCTTCTAGCAGGACTCCAAAGCTGTCCACAGTGTGTTTGAGGCACAATCAGAGAGTGCTCACTCTTCTGTGACTGGTTTCCTCTTTAACACCCTTCCTTACTTGGCCTGTTAGCCTCCTGATACAGAGGAATGAGTTGGGCAAGCAATGCTGGCTGGCTTGACAACTGCTTTGCACAAAATGAAAGAGGATGCCCTTTTGCGAGGATGAAGACAAAAGGCCTCCATGAGACCAAGGTTTGAGCCCCTTGCGGGTGACCATAGGCCTTTCCCACACAGCTCTGAGAGTGTGAGCCTTGCCTGGCCCTGCCTGCCTGGAGGGCTCAGTGACCCCAGCATGGACTGTCTGAGCAGCAAGAACCTGCTTCCCTGAGAGTGGAGGTATCCGAGGGCCAGGCAAAGGAGGAGACTAGGAGAAGGGTTTTAGTTCCAGAGAAGCAGACAAAGGGCTATGTTGTGGGGAAGAGGGAGAAATAAGTCCAAAGGATGGTAATTTCAGCAGGATCATACTAAGTCTCAAGACATTTTTTTTTTAAGTTTCTAATTTGAACCAATTTTTTTTTTCTCTTGCTAACCATGCCCAGGTGGTCATGCTTCATTTCCAGTCTTAGCAGCAGCTGGCCAGGACAGCAAGACAGAGACCTGAGGTTAGAGCTTCACTCGGTTTTGTGCTTGTAGATTTCTCCATGCGTCCTTTCCTGGAGGCTGTGAGAAAGGGAAGGCTGACAGGAGGTGAGTGAGGAACTTAATGAAAGGAAACAAAATAGACCCAAAGACACAGAAGCATGCAACAGAAGATCCTCAGAGGGAAGAGGAGGGAAGAAGAAATCAACTTAAGAACTTACATGCATATATATATGCATAACCCATCGGCACAGGTTGAAGGCCTGGGAGGGAACAGGAGTGGGGAAGACTGAGGGGAGTGTCAATGGGTTAAAAAGGGGACATCTGTAATTCTTTAAACACTAAAGATCGAAAGGAGACTGGGTGGAAAAGCAGTAGCAGTACTTCTGCTGCAGCAGCTGCTCTGCTGCTGTGCACCGTGCTCTCCACGTCGGGGAGGGAGTAGGGTCCCTCTCAGCAGCCTGAAGCAGAGCTTGAAGAGAGGATCCTCAGTGACATAGCACCTTGTAAGTGCCAGGTCTGTGTGAGGGAGACCAAACATGCAAAATGGGACAGTTTAAGCCTCTTCAAAGGGATATCAAATTGCTAACAATAATTATATCTGGCCGAAACCAGTTTGGCTCAGTGGTAGAGCGTCGGCCTGCGGTCTGAAAGGTCCCAGGTTCGATTCCAGTCAAGGGCATGTACCTTGGTTGCGGGCGCATCCTCGGTGGGGGGTGTGCAAGAGGTAACTGGTTGATGTTTCTCTCTCTTCGACATTTCTATCTCTCTATCTCTCTCCCTTCCTCTCTGTAAAAAATCAATAAAATATATATATTAAAAAAAATAATTATATCTGGAGAGAAGAATTAGAAATTTTTTTTCTTCCTTCTTTTTCTTCTTTTTTGTCTGATCCTCATTTCTTAAATTTTTCTACAATGAACACATATTATGAAAAGGTACTTAAATTACTATTTAATAACTATTTTTAATTTAATTTATGTTTCTTAGTTTAAGACATGACCCTTGCTCCAAAGGAGCTAGTTGAAATTCATTGAGGAAGACAATATTGAAACTTGAGTAAATCATCGAAGCCAGTGAATGCCCGAGGTCTGAGATGCACAGCACTCAGCTGTGCTGAGTCTGCTAGGTGGGACATGGAATGCCCGCGTCTGGTCACTGAGAAGGTGTTCCCTCCTCATTAAAGATATATTTCTAACAATATTTTAATTTTTCTATTTAATAATTATATTAATCATAATCCTCTTTAATAAAAGAGTAATATGCAAATTGACCAAGACACAAAATGGCTGCACCCATATGATCAAAGATGGTTGCCCCTATGTGGACACAAGATGGCCATCACAAGGTGGGAAATTAGGGGTGACCAGGCCAGCAGAGGAGAGCAGTTGGGGGAGACCAGGACTGCAGGGGAGGGCAGTTGGGGAGGCCAGGCCTTCAGGGGAGGGCAGTTGGGGGGGACCAGGCCTACGGTGGAGGGAAGTTGGGGGGGGAAGAGAATCAGGCCTGCAGTGGAGGACAGTTGGGGGGAACCAGGCCAGCAAGGGAGGGCAGTTGGGAGGAACCAGACCTCCAGGGGAGAGCAGTTGCGGGGGGGGGGGGACCAGGTTTGCAGGACAGAGCAGTTAGGGGTGACCAGGCTTCCAGGGAAGGACAGTTCGGGGGGTGGGGGGGAAGGGCAGGCTTGTAGGGCAGGGAAGTTGGGAGCCAGCAGTCTTGGATTGTGAGAGGGATGTCTGACCACCTGTTTAGGCCCGATCCCAGATTGGAGAGGGTGCAGTCTGGGCTGAGGGACACCCCCCAACCATGCACCGGGCCTCTAGTTCATTATAATGTACTAGAGGACCGGTGCATAAAATTTGTGCATTGGGGAGGGGATGTCTCACAGCCTAGCCTGCACCTCTCCAATCTGAGACCCCTCAAGGGATGTCTGACTGCCCATTTAGGCCCGATCCCATTGTAAGCCTTGTCTCCCCCAACTGCCCTTTCTTGTAGACCTGGCCTCTCCCAACTGCCATCCCCTGCTGGCCATCTTGTGGTGGCCATCCATCTTGTGTCCACATGGGGGCGACCATCTTTAATCACATTGGGGCAGTCACCTTGTGTTGGAGTGATGGTCAATTTGCATATTAGGCTTTTATTATATAGGATTTGTTTTGCTCAAATATGGACTATATTAAAATAATTAAATCTGGAAGAAATAATTTTTTAAAATATGTTTTTATTTATTTCAGAGAGAGGAAGGGAGAGGGGAGAGAGAGATAGAAGCGTCAGTGATAAGAGAGAAGCATTGATTGGCTGCCTTCTGCATGCCTCCTGTTGGGAATTAAGCCCACTACCCAGGCATATGCCCTGATTGGGAATTGAGCAGTGTCCTCCTGGTTGACGCTTAACCACTACACATCATGAACTGGGCAAGGAGAAATCATTTTAATTTTCATGTTTATACATATTCTATGGCAGAGAAGTATGATGGAAAGTCATTGAAAGATTTTCAATCATCAAAATACATATTTTTGGAACAATTTTTTGTGTGGAAGAGGAATGGAAATACAATTCAAAGATACTAAATTTTCAATAGCTAAAGAAGAGAATATTGAATTTGTTCAAATGGATGATAGTGGCCATGAAATCATAATCTTTACCTTCCATTAGATTTGTTTTACAAAGTGATGAAACCTTTTTATTTTAAAACTAGAAGCCCAGTGCACAAAGATTTATGCCAGAATGAACTTTCCTTTCCCTGGCTGCTGGCACTGCTTTTGCTCTGACCAGGGCTGCCTTTTCACCTTTCTATACTGCTCAGAGGGCTAGAGCAGCTGAGGGCAGGGTGGAACACCTTCATCCTGCCCCACCAGAGGCCATATATGCAAATTAACTGCCATCTTTGTTTGGCTAATTTGCATATGCACTCTGATTGGCTGTGGGCATTGCGAAGGTACGGTCACTTAGCATGTTTGTCTATTATTAGGTAAGATGTAAAAATTTTAGTTATTGTAGAAACTATATCTTTTGCAACTATATAAACTTATAAAGGAAAAACTTTAGATGTCATCTTAAAAATGTGCAAAGGGGACTAGTTTTTTTCACAAGTCCCTAAGGTATAAGTGAGCCAGAGATTGGAAAACAAGGTCTGCTATACAGAATTCAGGGTTTCTGGATCTGAGGTACCAAAGAATGCAAAGCCATCATTGCCACAATATCTTATAAAGAAAAACTCCCAGGTGCTTATATCAAATTAAAATCTAGCTTTGCATAGTCTTCAACTTACACATTACACATCGCTTCCAAAAAAAGATAAACCCCTCTATTTCCCCCATCTTTTTTTTTT